CAGGGCAACACATGGCAGGGAGCTGAGCATGCTGGCTCAGGTCTCTCATTCCTTTTATAAAGCCACCAGACTCACTCTCATGATAACTCATTAACTTATTAACCTAAATGGATTACTCCATTCATGAAGGCTCTGCACCTTTTAAAGACCCCACCAACTTGGGTGTCATGGCACGTGCCAGTAATCCCAGATACTCAGGAGTCTGAGGCAGGAGGATCACTTGAGCCCGGGAGTTTGAGACCAGGCTGGGAAACATAGTAAGACCTCATCTCTGTTTAAATAAATTTTAAAAAAGGCCTTGCCTCTCAATGCTGCTACATTCGATATTCAATTTCAGCATGAGTTTTGGAGGGGACAAATATTTAAACCATAACAAATGCTATACAAAGGAATACGTTTAAAATTGTGGTCTCTAATAGGATAAAAGGATTTATGGGGGAAAAGTTTAGGATTTAACAGCTCAAATTTTTGAGACTATATATTTTCTTAATACTATAAAGTCAAGTTCAGATATCAATTTTGAATTCTTGCGTGGACTATGTGGTGATAGGGAGAGGCCTGGGAGCACAGAAACACAATGAATGTTTTGTGTACCTGCTTTTAGCCAGGCACTGTGCTTGGCATTTCACATTGGTAAGTCATTTAATTGTCAGACCAGCCATCTGAGATAATGCATCTATCCATTTTATGGTTTCCATTCATTTGACAAATATTTGTTGAGCACAGTATTGGTTTATAGGCTTAGTTTTGTGAAAAGTGGAAAAATAAACTGCTCTATGCACAGAGAATTTATTTGATCAAGTTAACTAAAAGGTCTATAGGTAGCTCTAGCTTTAGTGGTAGCTTGACTCTGGGCTCCAATGATACCATGAAAGTCCATCTCTCAATTTGCTGCCTCTGCCTTGACTCTCCTCTCAGGATCTTCATGGCAGCCCCCACAGCCTAAGGCTCAACTCATCATAACATGTAGTGTAGGAGAAGAGAATGTTTTCTTCCCTATGGGATCAAAGTCCCAGGATTAAATTTCCTGGGCCCTAACTGGTCCCATGTGAGTCAGCTGTCTCTCCCTCAGCCAATCACCATGGACAAGGTATTGTGGTCCATGGTCTCTTTGGCCTGACATAGATCTTGTGCTCTACCCTTGGAGCCAGGGGGTTGAAGTTCTTCTGAAGTCTCTGCGCTGAGCAAACAGCATGGAAATACACATACATATAAAAAACCTGGAACATTGAAAAAATTCCCATCAACTGATAAGGTTGTCACTTCGTGTACTGTGGGTTGGCTGAGATTAAGCTGGAAAGACAATCAGAACTCAGCTCAGTGAGCAGAGGAATAGGAGTCCATGAAGAAGGGCAATCAGGAAATTAGCAGTAAGGCAGGAAAAGAAGGAAGAGAGAGAGTAGCATCACTGAAGCCAAGGGAAGGGAACGTGTCAAAGAGCCAAAAGTGAAAGTGACCAATTCAGAACAAATATCAGAGAATACAGCGCCTGAAAGATGTCTATCTGGATTGGCAAATAAGAGAGGTGAAAGGTCATTAAGTGGCCAAAGAGCCTATTATCTAGAATAAGAGGGGCAAGGGGCTAAAGGGATCAGAGGCTGTGATCAAAGATGATCTGTTAGAGCTGAATATTTCAGAGTTATAGTTTTAGAGGATAATGAAGTAAAGACAGCTTTAATCTGGAAGGTTAATGAGTTTTGAGGCAAAATTGTTGACTTCATGGGTTTAATATGGAATGAAACACTGAGAAAGTTCCCAAATCTATAAAAAGTAGGAAATGGCTGGGAATTTGTTAGTAAGTGTAAGGACATAGTTGGCTACCTCACAAGAGATGGCTCTTCCTAAGGAAGAGGAAACAAAGGTGTGGAAGGAATATTAGGAAGGTTGAAGAATATTGACACTTCTCCCAGATCTCGTGGTTTCTGTGGGGTGAGGGAAAAACACTTCCTTCTCCAGAAAGGACAGAGGTGGGGGTGGAGAATCATAGGCTATTCATCACGTTTGGATGACTAAATAAATATTTGAGTAATTTCTAAACCAAGTAGAGTAGCTGTGTAGTAAAGAATTTATAGAAGAGCATCTCTTGGCCCTACAAGAAAGTCTGGCTTTTGCCCTTGGCTCCTGGGACAGAATCTCCAGGCACTAGGAATGTTATGCCTAGTAGAAAGGTCTTTGCCTGAGGATCTTGAGTCATACTAGATGGTCTAACAATGTGATTTAGGATGGGGAGTTGGCCACATCCACATAGTCACAGGGTCAGGGGTGACCTCTCCAGAAAGACCAACAGAGTGAGGTAAGGTAAGGGCTTTGAGTCATGTGGTATCAGCCAACCTGAAGACTGAGATTAATTAACCATGCGGACAATCAATTAATCATGCCTGTGTGATGGAACCTTGCTAAAAACTCTGCACACGAAGCTCAGGTGAGCTTCCCTGGCTGGCAGTACTTCTTGTGTATTGTCACACAGCAATACTGGGAGAGTAACTTGTCCCAGCTCCACAGGAAGAGGACAATAAAAGCTCTGCAGTTGATATTTTTGGACTCTGGCCTCGACTCTATGAGCTTCTTCCCTTGGCTAATTTTAATCTCTATCCTTTCCCTATAGTAAACTATGATGCTAAGTATAATAGCTTTCAGTGAGTTCTGTGAGTCTTTCTAGCAAATTATGGCATCTACTCAGGGTTTTGAGAACCCTCTGAACTTAGTGTTAGAAGTAAGGACAGTCTTGGAGAATGTGCCCTCTAGCTTTGTAGGTGGCCTACAGCTTAGCTCACAGCAACGTCAAACTCCTAAGCTCAAGCGATCCTCCTGCCTCAGCCTCCTGAGTAGCTGGGACTACAGGCGCACACCATTACTCCTGGCTAATTTTTTCTATTTTTAGTAGGTCTCGCTCTTGTTCAGGCTGGTCTGGAACTCCTGAGCTCAAGCGATCCTCCCACCTCCACCTCCCAGAGTGCTAGTGGCCTATACTCCTTGAAGTACGAAAATGTCCTACTTCGGATTTTACTTTCTTTGCTTTCTTATAGAAGGTAGTTTATATATTAAGTAATCTGTATACTTTTTAAATAAAACATTCATTAGGCTCTTTACCTAGTATTTATCTGTAATAGGTTCATGAACTCATTCAGTAACTATCTATTGAATTTAACCGAAAGCAATTAAAGTAGCTAGGAAAGAATCCATTTAAATTGTTTCTTGTGTACATTTTGCCAAATGTTTTTTATTAAAGAGTAAATACTTTGTGTTACATTAATACTGTACTTATTAATTATATGATGTTGGGCAAATCATATAATTTCTATGAGTTCAATTCTGATCATTTCTAAAATTAAAGATAATATATTTTTCATAGATACTAATTAAGGATTAATGAAAGATGAAGGACAAAATAGGAAATATTAAAAATTTTAGCCTTGTATATGGCATGTATTATATGTTCCATAAATATTAACTGAGATAATAATATTCTAGGAGTTTCATATAATATCTATGCTTTATAAATTCTGTTGACTAAAGATTTATGAGTAGGTAATGTTTCTGAACTCAATTCTCCTTTATTTAAGAAGCTAATTTTGCTACTGTGCAAACTTATGAGCTGAAGGCATTATAACAATCTTAGGGAAATCACCACCACCATCTAGATTCTAATTACAAATTCCATACAAATTCTTCTTCTTGAATGTATATGGTTTTAAAAATATGATAGAATCAACTACCTTGCTCTTTTTATTTGCATTTCTTATATTTTAAATTTAGGAAATAAATGGATTCCAGTGTTTTCATGCATTGGCTATGAATAGCAATTTCTAGGCAAATTTTGATTCTTTATAGCTAAAAACACATTTTTTTGCAAAATTTCTGCCATTGCCACTAACATGGTCTTGTAATGATTAATGCTGTTTTCTAAAGCTTTTTATTTATTTTGATACATCAATAAGGTACATTCATGAAATTCTTACCAACATAACTTTTGACTAAAAATTAAACCAATGTTATAGAAATCCCCACCATTCTTAATTAAATACAAGGTGTTTTCTAGTTAGTCATTTTCAGATTATGATACTGTGGTGTATGAATGGTGTGTCGTGTGTGTGTGTGTGTGTGTGTGTGTGTGTGTGTCCAAGCCTGCTATATAACTTATATAATACAAGGGTGATCTTACAAACCACACGGGTGGTTTCCTAGGCTTGGAAATAAGAATAGATGTATTCCTTTTTATGCCATAAACCATGCAATTAACCTTCTATCAAGCATCCCAATAGAAGCTGTGGACTTCCATTCAGACCTTCAAATTGCATGGGGAAAGTTTTAAGCTTCTTTTTGAAATTCCACATTTCCAGGTAAAGTACAAGAGAAGGAAGGAATTAAAGGGAAGAAAAGTCACTGCTCCCCAGTTCTTTTCATTTGATTTTCTCCCTTCTTTAATGTCTCTCTCCTTCCACTCAGCATAATCGGTTTTATACCCCTAAGTATTTGGGGCGCCACTTAGGCTTTTGGTGGCAAATGTATGTGGCGGTCGAGGGGGGAGGGGGCATGGCAATATACGTAACCTTAACATTTGTACCTCCATAGTATGCTGAAATAAAAAAATTTAAAAAAAAGTATGTGGCGGAACCCTTCGGAGGAGAACGCTCCTCTCCAGACCTTCTAAAGATAGGAAAAACTGGGAACCCTGTTTCTACGGACGCAGGACGCGTCGCTAAGGGACTAAAGCGGGGCGGGGTGGGAAGTAACCACCGGCGCCTGACGGGAAGGGAAAGAAGTGGACGCGGTTTGTTTTGGGAGGCGGAAGCGACGGAAAAACTGGAAATCAAAATTTGCCCCGAGGTGGGAGGTGAAATAGGAAAAGCATCGTTTTATTAAAGCGGGTTTTGTTTCGTGTTGTCCCGGAAGTGGGCAACACGTTCTCCCGCGGGACCTGGACGCGAGGGGACGGGGCGGGACGGCGGCGGGAGGCGGGCCGGGCGCGCCCAGGTTCGTGGAGACCCGCTTCGCCTCTTCCACCCTGAATATCAACGAGCTTCCTCAGTTTTGCCCCCAGTCTTGGCTTCCCATTAAAGGAGCGCAGGCACAGAATATTTGAGCTGGGTTTTCCTGTTTTCCAAGTGAGGTGGAGGCGCCGCGGGGAGGGCGAGCTGCGGGAGGGACGGGAGTTGAGGGACGCGCTAAAAGTCGCTTGGTTGATATACTTCCAACCCGCAGCGGGACTGACTCCGGCGGTCATTACGGTGGTGATTACGGTGCTGGTTTGGAGTTGGCCAATCGATTCCTCGAATCATCATCTGATTGTTTGCTCACAATACTCCCCCAATGCATGGACATCACAGTTGTAAAATTCCTTGCCATTTTTCCTTGGAAACTTCCCTTCCAATCTCAATTGGTGACAGGAAATTTTAGTAAAGGTTAAAAAGGAAGAGCTCTCCCTCTCTCTTACAACAGCAAAGAGGGGACGAGAAAATTTATGGCGTGGATCTACGCACACAGGTCAGGTTTATAGTTAGCTTTTGAATAAGCAGTTTTTCAGTTAGTTCTCCCAGTTTGTGGGCTATAATAGTTTACTAGGGCTGCCATAACAGAACAGCACAGACTGGGTGGCTAAACAATAGAAATTTATTTTCTCACAGTTCTGGTGGCTGAAAGGTGGAGATCAAGGTGTGGGCACAGTTGATTTTTTTCAAAGCCCGATTCTCCGTGACTAGCAGGTGGCTGGCTGCCTTCTCACTGTGTCTTCACAAGGTGTCTTCTATTTGGGTGTTGTCTAATATCCTAATCTCCTCTTCTTATATGACACCAGTCATATTGGACTAAAGCCCACCCTAACAACCCCATTCTAACTCTATCTCTTTAGAGGCTGGCTCCCCAAATTCAGTCACATTCTGAGATACTGGGAGTTATAGGGTTTCTAAGTATAAATTTGTGGGGGAGGGGGGACATAATTTAGCCTATAACATGTGCCATTTATCAACATTTTAGATTTAAAAAGAAAAAAAGTATTCTCTTATGTCTGTACTTGGAAAGTGATGTGGAGAAATTCAGCCAGTTATCTCATTATTAAGTACAAATTAATCATTTAACAATGAGGTGAGTGCTTACTGTGGTCTCAATATAGGGTTTAGCAGACTGTGTTGGCTTCAAGTATAAGATGAGGCCTTGTCTTCAAGGAGTAAATGTTTGAACTGATAAAGCCAATGTTACAATGGAAGTAAATTGTAATTTGTCTCCATTTTCTAGATATTGCTCAGACCTGCTCTTTAGTTTGTGACTTTAGAGATTCTTAGGTTTCCTGAGTTGTTTAGAACTTACTGAAGAAGACTTCTCAGCAGAGCCTATAATGTTGATAGCATTGGGTTTTGTTTGTTATTTTGGTTTTGTTTTCAGTCCCAAAGATGCTGTTGAAATGAAATAGTGCTCTTAAAAGTTACTTTTTAGCTTGATATTGTTATTTTAGTTATGACTAAGTCTCTGATGTGCTAATATGTTGACCTGTAATCTTTGTTGTGGACAAGCCTTTGCAGTGAGGCCTGTGGATGATTTATTGAGAGATTGGGAATTTATTCTTCCCTAATTGGCAAGGTCTCTATTTCATTGTGTTCTTTTTCAAAAAACTGTCATTTCTGAACTAGAAATTAAGAACATAAATCCAAGTTTCCTGTTAAAACAATTTTACTGAGTTTAGATTTGGCAAGAGTCACATTTTGTAATAATTCACTCAACTTTGTATTTCATCTTCCAGTAAATCATTATGAAGTAACATAATTCATTACAGATAAACTGGGATTATTCATCCTTGAAAATTATATTCAGAGACATCCCCAAATTAAATTGTAATTTTCAAATCCCAGTTAAATATAAAATGCTTTGTCTGGTGCTGAGATTTGGAGTTGGGTAAGTCACTTCTGGCTTTAAATGAGTTTTCAACACAGTGAAGAAGAGATTTGTCAAAGATTGACTCTCTTAAGCAGCAAGTATAATAGTATGAGCCAAGTGTTGTAATGAAGAACAAAGTGAAACAGGAGCACACAAGGAAAAGACTGTCACTGTGACAAGGAATGAGAGGATGCCAAGGAAAATTTCATAAAAGAGGTAGCCTTTACACCAGGATTTGATAAAGAGTGGGCTTTTGACTGGAAGACATGAGGAGAGAATATTCCAATGGGAAGGAAAAGCATGAAGGAAGGACATACTTGGGTAAAGAGTGGGATGCATCCAGAGAATAAGAGTGGTAGAATATAGTGTGAGAGGAAGGGTTAGGGGGGATAAACTGGAAAGGTGAACTGAGCCGGATCCTGGACTGTCTTTTCTTGAATGGTCTCATATGCCAACTGAAGAGTTTGGGTGTCATTCTGTAGGTAGTGGGGAGCAAGCCAAGGATGGTGAGCTCGAGCTGGACTGGATCAGTGTCCTGTTGAAGAAAGACAGCTCTGATGTCATTTTGAAAGATGAAGAGGAAAGTTGGGGCAGGCTAATTAGGAAGGGAGTATAGTGCAGTAAACCAGGGGAAGGAAAGTAAAAACCTGAAGGTCTGAAGGAGGATGGTGGTAATGGAAATCAAAGCAAGGATCAGAAAGGTCTTGTCCTCTGTGTCAATGTAGCGCCACTGTTCATGGAATTATGCAAAAAGGCTATTGATCCAATCTAACCCTGAGATTCTATGAATTGAGATTCTATGAATTAAGATTCTATGACCACACAAGAACCGTGTATTCCAGGTGAGAGCATTTCCCCCAACTGTAAGTACATAAGAATGCTTCATATCTATCTATACATATTGAAGAAGTAAGATCATCTTTCTTGTCCCCAGTTGATATATCATTTGAAAGGGGGATAATTAGATCTATTGAACTCAAAACTATTTTTGCTTTTTGATGAGACTTCAGTATGGAGACATAGTAATGCTTCTCAGGGTAATCTCCCTAAGTAGTTGTATCTATCCCAGGCCTACACTTGGGTTTTATAGGACAATGAGTTTCTGTTTCTGTTCGTTGAACCCAGAATAAGAATTTAATAGAAAATTCAGAAGTAAATCTATGAGGAAACTAGAGAAGGAAAGGAAACAAGGTAATCAGATGACATTATACAAAAGATACTGAATTGCTGGATTAAAATAGAAGCTACTGAATTGCTGAATAAATTCTCATTATTTCCCAAGTTCCAAAGCTATTTAGTATAGGTATAACTAAAGAAATATAGTGTGAAAAAAGTGACAGTCAGACATATGGGGATCATTGATGATCACAGGAAAGCAGGCATGGCAGAAAAAAAGGAAATAGTATGCAGATGGAGAGTATGAATTTTGCAGCATTTATAGGAAATCTGCACATCTTGTTCCTAACTGGTAAGTATATCATAACTTATATATGTTTATTTTATTTATCCAACACTTATATGTTACTTACATTTGCACAATTAAACCTCATAACAACCTCACAAAGTAGGTAATTTTATTATTCCTATTTTACATATGAACAACACAGAACAAGGCCACAGGCACACAGCTGGTAAGTGTCAAAGCTAAGGATTCAAACCCAAGCAGTCTGACTCTAGGGATCCTGTTCTTATACAATACACCATGCTGCCCTCCTAAGTTTGAAGGTGGGGGAGAAAGCAATGTTTGCAATATTTGCATTTAATATGAAATCTATTCCTTTAACTTTTGCTTTCCTTCAACTAATTTTCTACTTTTTTTTTTTCTCTTTTAATACAATGGTTTGATCTGGAGAAACCTCAACATGACTTTGTCAAAAACTTGTGCATACTCATAAATGTAAATGCAGGCTAAAAGCAGTCATAGCATTTATAGTTGTCTATTTCCTCTATGGCTAGTAGTTATTCATTCAAGTTGTTAGGTATGAGGGATGCAAAGATGAATTAGGCATGGGTCCTGACTTCAAGAAACTCAGAGAGAGGAAATAAGAAAAGTATGTCAAATGTTTTATTAGAGTGTGACAAGTGCTAAGATAGCAGTATACATAAGATGTCATATGAACACAAAAATTTGGTATCTAAATCATAGTCTATTAGGAAAAGCTTCCTAGCAGTGATGTTACATATCTTGAAGGTCTTGAAGGATGACCAGGACTTAAGAATATAGGGAAGAATAGTATTGTAGGTAAAGGGAATAACAAAGTGAATTGACAAATAAAGGAAAATCCAACACATTTTCGGAACCACAGGTTGTTCATTATGATGAGACTATTAAGTATATATGAGCAAGAGGCAGGTAGTGTTAAAGATTTTTATCAGCAGCCAAACCATGAACCCTGCATGATCAAGAAGCTTGGCATTTTTTCTGAAAGCTTCTGGGAGAGGTTAAAGGTTTAAGCATATAGGCATCTGATGGTATTTTTCTTGAAAAAATAATTCAGATGTGAAGGATAGAGTGGATAGAATGGAAGATAGAATGGATCATATGTATGGACATGTATGTATGTATGTATGTATGTATATATATGTAGGGAGAGACTAAAAGGAACTTTCTAGGACAGTGGGGACCCAATTCTGGTTTTGAGAACAGCTATATCAGAATGACTTTAAAAAATAGATTCCTAGTCTTTACCTCCATAATTTCTGACTTAGAGAGTCTGGGGTAGCAACTGGGAACCTGTTGGAAGGTTTTGAGTTAATTCCACAGTGTAACTAGGATTGAGAACCATTATGACTCCTAGGTGTATGGGCTAGAAGCCTAAGAAATACTAATGTGATAGTAAGCGTTGAAGAGATTTTTGGTTGGAGAATGGAAGGGTGGGGACAAGTTTTAAACTTATACTTGGGCTACCTATGGGAAATATGAGTTGAGCTTGGTATATAAGTTTGGAGAGATTTTATTTTATACCATTTAGAAATAAATGGTGGTAGATGAAGCCATGGATCTGAGAGTTCATTTTGGAAGAATGTATGCAATAATGAGAAAGATGGCCCTTAGAAACACTAGTATTTAGGGAGTGAGCTAAAGAAGAAGAACACGTTGAAGACACTGACAAGGAATCGTCATAGAAGGTAGGAAGATGTGACTATTGTCATAGTAACCAAGAGAGGGGAGAGTTTCCAGAGAAATGAGTGGTCAACATTAGCAAAAGTTATAAAAATTCAAATAAGGTAAGAGCAGAAAAGTGTCCACTAATTTTTAAGATGGTCACTCTAGTGACATAGGAGAGAAGATTTAGTGGAATAGTTTAGAAGGAAGTGAAATTATGGTAGATTAAGAAGGAAAAGGGATGTAAGAAATTAGAACTTTTAAGTATAGACTACAATTAAAAGAAATTTGGCAATAAAGGGAAGAGGAGAGAGAAAATGACAACTACCGTGTTTCCCCGAAAATAAGACCTACCTGTAAAATAAGCCCAAGCAGGATTTCTAAGCATTTGAGCAATATAAGCCCTACCCCGAAAATAAAACCTAGTGATGGGCGTGGCTATGCAGCATATCTGCACAACCCATGCATTTCATCGCCAAGTGGTAAAAGAAGACGTGCAGCCCTTCTCATCTGCCCCATGAGAGCTCTATTACTTGACATTGGAGCCAATGGTTCTAAAGGAAATAGGGTTGCAAGAAATTCAGAATGGAATTCAGAGTTTGGAGAATTATGATGATGTTCCAGAAGAAGACGACTTAACTATATTTGAATAAATGTAGATTGCTGTAAAAAAAAAAAATAACACATCCGCTGAAAATAAGCCCTAGGGTGTCTTCTTGAGGAAAAATAAATATAAGAACCTGTCTTATTTTGGGGGAAACACTGTAGTAGAGTCAGGAGAAGTTTTTTCTGTTTTACAAATAGAAGAGAGCATACTAAGGGGAAGAAATTGATGAAGTAAAAAGATGAAGTACAGGAGAACTGGGATAACCACTGGAAGTAATTTCTTTAGGAGACTAAAAGTAATGGAGTTGAGAGTACATTTAGATCTCCAGTGACCAAATGAACAAATAAATCCTTATCATCAAATGATAATGCATGCTCATAGAAATGGGAGTATGAAGTAGGAACACCAATGTGTACATTCAAATTAAAAAGATAAAGAAAGGACTAAAACACAGAAGGTCATATTGAGGAACATTTAATATAATCCTAATGCATTTTGCATTAAGATTAGTTGTTAGTTCGTGCAAAGTTCCAGAAACTCTGCATAGTTTCTTTATCACATTGGACCATATCATAGGTTGGAGGTGGAGTATCTGGATGAAGTAACATGACAGAAAGCATGCTTGGATGGGAAGGCACTATCAGAGCATAAAGGATTTATGCTTAGGGCATTACATGGTGAAGGAAAGAGAGTAGAAAAAAGATGAAAAAAATCAAGTACAAAATATGAGCTTTTGGCATAGGATCTTAAATCCTTGCATTTTCGTGCATTATTGTCTCTGTGTGGTATTAATTGAATAGAAGAAATATAAATTTTTTGAGCTAAAACTTAGTATTGACATTGATGTTTACTAAAAACATTGATGATTGAGTACTTTTTGTGAACCATATAACTTTACACTTAAATGCCACTGGAGGCTGGACGCGGTGGCTCACGCCTATAATCCTAGCACTCTGGGAGGCCGAGGCGGGCGGATTGCTCGAGGTCAGGAGTTCGAAACCAGCCTGAGCAAGAGTGAGACCCTGTCTCTACTATAAATAGAAAGAAATTAATTGGCCAAATAATATATATAGAAAAAATGGGCAGGGCATGGTGGCGCATGCCTGTAGTCCCGGCTACTCGGGAGGCTGAGGCAGCAGGATTGCTTAAGCCCAGGAGTTTGAGGTTGCTGTGAGCTAATCTGATGCCATGGCACTCACTCTAGTCTGGGCAACAAAGCGAGACTCTGTCTCAAAAAAAAAAAAATAAAATGCCACTTTGAATCCATCGAACCAAAATATACTGAATACATGGTCATCTACTCCAATTTTAAAAAGAAATAAACTATGGTGCTCAAAAAATTGTAGTGTTCAACAGGGATCTGGGGGGGGGGACCCACATCTTAAGGATGTGATGAGCATTGTAGGGGGGAAAGGATTACCTCTATCCCTTTGTAGGGAGAGGCAAAGAAACACACTGTAACCAAAATGTCTAAAAAAAAATTTGTTAATGGGAAGTGAACAGGTGGAAGGGGGGAGAAGGGGAAGGGTACTCACTTTCATGGTGGGTACAGGGCGCACCACTTGGAGATTAGGCACGCTTGAAGCTCTGGCAGAGCAGGGTGGGGGCGGCAGGGGCAAGATATGTAACCCTAACAATATTTGTACCCACAGAATTTGAGATAAAAATAAAATAAAATTAAATTAAAATTAAAAAAAAAGAAATAAAGTAAAGGGACCTTTGGGTTAGTATTTCTGGATTATTGCCTCCACTCTGCCCTAGCTATTTGTATTGCTCTGATAAGGTACTTTGTGATCTTCAGTGTTCTCATCTGAAAATGTATTAAATTAGACCAGGTTCTGATGTCACAAACATCTCCCTAAGCCTCATATGGCTGCTTGACCCCAGATGAGGTTTTCAGCAACATTAATTAACTAGAAAGTATAAACTGTTATAGCATTGGGACCTAACCAGCTTAGCTGCTATTCCTTCTGTATGATCAACTGCCTGCTAAGTGATATATTAACAATTTTGGATCATTGACCAATTTTTTAATTAAATTTTTTTTTATTTTCATAGATTTAGGAGGTACATGTGCAGATTTGTTACATGGATACATTGCACAGTGGTGAAGTCTTGGATTTTTGTGTAACCTTCACCTGATTAGTGTACATAGTATCCATTAGGTAATTTCTCATCCCATACCCCTCTCCTACCCTCTCACTTTCCACCACTTTGGAGTCTCCAATGTCTTATTCTACTTTCTATGTCCATATGTCCACATTATTTAGCTCCCACTTATAAGTGAGAACATGTGGTATTTGACTTTCTGTTTCTGAATTATTTCACTTAAGATACTGGCCTCCAGTTCCATCCATGTTGCTGCAAAAGACATGATTTCATTCTTTTTTATGGCTCACTAGTATTATTACATGGTGTGTGTGTGCGTGTGTATACATACCACATTTTCTTTATTCAGTCATGAGTTGATGCACACTTAGGCTGATTCTAATATATATCTTAGTTATAGTGAATAGTGCTATCATAAACGTATAAGTGCAGCTATCTTTTTGATAGAATGATTTCTTTTCCTTTGGGTAGATACCCAATAGTGGGATTGCTGCATCATCAAATAGTAGTTCTATTTTTAGTCCTTTGATAAGCCTCCATACTATTTTCCATAGAGGTTATGCTAATTTACACTCCCACCAACAATGTTTAAATGTTCCCTTTTCTCTGCATCCTTCCAACATCTATTGTTTTTTTGACTTTTTAGTAATGGCCATTCTGACTAGTATAAAATGGTATCACATTGTGATTTTAGTTTCTATTTCTCTCATGATTAATGATATTGAACATTTTTTGATATGTTTGTTGGCTATTTGTATGTCTTCTTTTGAAAGCTGTCTGTTCATATCCTTTGCTTACTTTCTAATGGGATTATTTATTTTTTTCCTGTTGAGTTGTTTGTGTTCCTTGTAGATTCTGGATATTAGTCCTTTGTCAGATGCATAATTTGCAAATATTTTCTCCTATTCTATAGGTTGTCTATTTACTTTTTTAATTATTTATTTTGCTGTGCAGAAGCTTTTTAGTTTAATTAAGTCCCATTTGTCTATTTTGTTTTTGCTGCATTTGCTTTTGAGGTCTTAGTCATAAATTATTTGCATAGGCCAATGCCTAGAAGACTTTTTCCTAGGTTTTCTTCTAGAGTTGTAATAGTTTCAGGTCTTATATTAAAATTTTTAATCCATCTTGAGTTCATTTTTGTATATGGTGAGAGATAGGGTCCAGTTTCATTCTTCTGCATCTGGCTATCCAATTTCCCCAGCACCATTTATTGAATAGGGAATCCTTACTCCAGTGTACGTTTTTGTAACTTTTGTCACAGAGAAGTTAGTTGTAGGTATGTGTCTTTATTTCTGGGTTCTCTCTTCTGTTCCATTTATCTTCTGATCCATGAGTATAGGATGTTTTTCCATGTGTTTGTGTCATTTATGATTTCTTTCATCAGTGTTTTGTAGTTCTCCTTGTAGAGTTCTTTAACCTCCCTGGTTAAATATATTCCTAGGTTCTTTTCTTTTCTTTTCTTTTCTTTTCTTTTCTTTTCTTTTCTTTTCTTTTCTTTTCTTTTCCTTTCTTTTCTTTTCTTTTTGTAGCTATTGTAAATGGGATTGAGTTCTTGATTTGGTTCTCAGCTTGGTTGTTATCAGTGTATAAAAATGCTACTAATTTCTGTATATTGATTTTGTATCCTGAGACTTCACTGAATTCATTTATTAAATCTATGAGTCTTTTGGAGGAGTCTTTAGGGTTTTCTAGGTCTTAGATCATATCATTAACAAACAGAGATAATTTGACTTGCCCTTTTCTGATTTGTATGCCCTTTATTTCTTTCTCTTGCCTGATTGCTCTGGCTAGGACTTCCAGTACTAGGTTGAATAGAAGTAGTGAAAGTGGACATCCTCATCTTGTTCTAGTTCTTAGGGGAAGCACTTTCAACCTTTCCCCATTCAGTGTGATGCTAGCTGTGAGTTTGTCATATATGGCTTTTGTTATTTTGAGGCATGTTCTTTCTATGCCTGGTTTGTTAAGGGTTTTTATCATGAAGTGATGCTGAATTTTATCAAATGCTTTTTCTGTATCTGTTGAAATGATCATATTGCTTTTGTTTTTAATTTTGTTTATGTGATGAATCACATTTATGGATTTGCATATGTTGAACCAATCTTGCTTCCTTGGAATAAAACCCACTTGATCATTGTGTATTATCTTTTTGATGTGCTGCTGTCTTCTGTTTGCTAGTATTTCGTTGAGGATATTTGCATCTGTGTTTACCAGGGACACTGGTCTGTAGTTGTCTTTTTTTGTTGTGTCTTTTCCTGCCTTTGGTATTAGGGTGATACTGGCTTCATAGAATGAATTAGGGAGAAGATTTTTTGGAACAGTTGCATTAGGATTGGTACCAATTCTTCTTTGTATGTCTGGTAAAATTTGGCTGTTAATCTGTCTGGTCCTAGAGGTTTCTTTTTGTTTGGAGATTTTTTATTACTGATTCAATCTCACTACTTGTTATTGGTCTACTCAGGATTTCTGTTTCTTCCTGAATCAATATTGGCAGGTTATATGTTTTCAGGAATTTATCTATTTGCTTTAGGTTTTCTAGTTTTTGCTCATGGAGATGTTCATAGTAGTCTTGAACAATCTTTTGTATCTTTCTGGTATCAGTTGTAATGTCTCCTTTTTGGGTCTCAATTTCATTTAGTTCTGCTCTGATCTTTATTTCTTTTCTTCTGCTAGCTTTTGGTTTGGCTCGTTCTTGCTTTTCTGGTTCCTTGAGATGTCACATTAGGTTGTTAATTTGTTTTTTTGTTTGTTGGTTTTATTTTGTTTTGGTTTTTTTTGAGACAGAGTCTCACACTGTCACCTGGGCTAGAGTTCTGTGGTATAAGCCTAGCTCACAGCAACCTCAAAGTCCTGGATGCAAGTGATTCTCCTGCCTCTGCCTCCCCAGTCGCTGGGACTACAAGCACACGCTACCATGCCTGGCTAATTTTTCTATTTTTAGTTAGAGACAGGGTCTCACTCTTGTTCAGGCTGCTCTTGAACTTCTGAGCTCAAGTGATCCTCCCGCCTCGGCCTCCCAGACTGCTAGAATTATAGGTATGAGTCACCAAGCCCAGACTTAGGTTGTTAATTTGTGATCTTTGTATTTTTTTGATGTAGGCATTTAATGCTATAAACTTCCCTCTTGGCACTGCTTTTACTATATCTCAGAGGTTTTTTTTTTTTTTTTTTAAGACAGAGTCTCACTCTGGTGCCCAGGCCAGAGTGTCATGGTGTCAGCCTAGCTCACAGCAACCTCCAACACCTGGGCTCAAGGAATCCTTCTGCCTCCCTCCTGAGTAGCTGGGACTACAGGCATGCGCTACCATGCCCGGCTAATTTTTTTCTATATATATTTTTAGTTTGCCAATTTCTTTCTATTTTTAATAGAGATGAGGTCTTGCTCTTGCTCAGGCTGGTTTCAAACTCCTGACCTTGAGCAATCCTCGCGCCTCGGCCTCCGAGAGTGCTCTCAGAGGTTTTGATATGTTTTGTCTCTATTTTCATTCATTTCAAAAACTTTTTAAATTTTCATCTTGATTGTGTCATTGACTTAAAGATCATTTAGGAGCAGGTTGTTTAATTTCCATGTATTTGTATAGGTTTGAGAGTTCTTCTTGTAATTGATTTCTAGTTTTATTCTACTGTTGTCTGAGATGTCTACTTGATTTTTTAAATTTTTTTTATTTTCATTTTTAAAATTTATTGAGACTTGCTTTGTGGACTAACATATATGGTCTATTTTGGAAAATGTCCTATGTACTGATGAGAAGAATGTATATTTTGCAGCTGTTGGGTGGATTGTTCTGTAAATGTCTATTAGGTTAATTGGTCTAGAGTCCAATTTAAGTCCAGTGTTTCTTTTTTGATTTTCTACGTGGATGATCTGTCTAGTGCTGTCAGTGGGGTGTTGAAGTCCCCTACTATTATTGTATTGTTGTCTATCTCTTTTCTTAGATTTAGAAGTATTTGTCTTATGAATCCGAGTGCTCCAGTGATTGGTGCATAGATATTTAGGAATATTATATCTTCTTGTTGAATTGATCTTTTTATCATTATATAATGATCTTCTTTGTCTTTTTTACTGTTGCTGATTTAAAGCCTGTTTTATCTGATATAAGTATAGCTACTCCTGCTTGCTTTTGTTTTCCATTTGTATGGAATATCTTTTTCTACCCCTTTGCCTTGATTCTTTAAGAATCTTTGACCATTTTTAATTGAATTAATTATATAAATATGAGCTCTTTGCATTGACTTTCATTAAAATTATATCACAATAAAAAGAAAATAGATATAAGTCAAGCCACATGGTCTTGCTTTAAGTATGAATCACATCTGGCTCTCATATGATAATCTTGAACTTTCGCCAACTCACTTTTATCATAAATTTAAAAATTCATGAGGTCCACACACATCTGCGAGTTCTGATAATATGACCTTCGATTGAAAAAACTTTAGTACATTTAGAATTCTGTGATTTATTCTATAATATATATAATTCTGTTGTTTAACTAAAACAATAATGTAAAAATGGGTCTTTTTAAAAATGTATGCCAAAATAATTAGCTATATGTTTATTTGAATTGATTTCTTCTTCCTCCTTTTAAAACAGGAATTTACTGACTGACAATGACAGAAAACATCTTAGAGAAGTTAGATGTCCTCGATAAGCAAGCACAGATAATCTTGGCCAGAAGAGCAGAGGTTGGTAAAGTATAAGCTAAAATTCAATTTAATCATTAAAAAGTTAACATTTCAAATATGAATAATTTTTTTAGTTAATGATACATTCATCTGAAGATATAAATTAATTCGTAAAAAGCAAATAATTATATTAGTTGAAAAAATCATCTAAGTTGATACTATAGAGAATTCATTTAATATATAAGATAATCTCTAGATAGCTGCCCTATTAGGTTAAGATATATATCAAACCTGCTTAAGATTTAAAAAATCTTATTCAGCCAAGTATTAAATGTACTCTTACAGTTCTTACTAATATGTTAAACATCTAAAAGTGATTTTGTTGGGCTACTAAAAAGAAGAGAACAGTGGCATAGTTAATGAATTATGAATAATTAAAACATAGAAATTAATTAAACTAAAAAAGATAAGACTCATAAAATTCAACACAAAATATTAATAAAGAATATAATTCTCAAAAGCTATATTTTTGGCATATATGAGCAATTTAAATTCTTTTTTTCTTTTTCTTTTTCTTTTTTTTGCAGAGACAGTCTCACTCTGTCACCCAGGCTAGAATTCAGTGTCATGATCATAGTTCACTGCAGCCTCAACTCCTGGGTTCAAGCAATCCTCCTGCCTCAGCCTCCCCAAGTTGCTGGGACTGCAGGTGTATGCTGTCACACCTAGCTTATTTTTCTTACTTTTTGTAGAGACAGGGTCTCACTTTGTTGCCCAGGCTGGTCTCAAACTCTTGGCCTCAAGTGAACCTTCCTCCTCAGCCTGCCAAAGTGCTGGGATTACAGGCATGAGCCACCTCAAACAAATTTTAATTATTGGGGTTTATCTATCCACATCTTCTTTGGGCTCTTACAAAGGTATACATATGTGCATATAGTATCTTTGCATATAAATTTACATATATATAAGTATTCATAATATAAGTATATACCTATTAATACATATATACATACATATATGAAAGGGGATTTTATCTATTTCCTTTATTAATGACAAAAATGAGATAATATATAAATCACTTTAGTAATTGATTGTTATTTATTTAAACTTAAAAAAAATAATTGTAGACTCACAATTCCATGTACCTTTTACCCAGTTTCCCCCTATTGTGATGCCTTATATAGCTGTGGCACAATATCAAAACCAGGAAATTGACACTGGTATATTTTTGTTAACTAAACTATAGACTATTCAGTGTTCATTATGTTTTAATCTGCATTTATTGCTGTGTGTATGTGAGCGTGGTTTTATGCAATTTTATCCCATTATAGATTTATGTACCACAATCAAGATATAGAAGTTTTCCATCTGCATACAAGATATCTCTCTTGCTAACTCTTTGTAGTTTTTTGTTTGTTTTCTTTTTTGAGACAGAGTCTTACTCTATTGCTCTGGGTAGAGTACAGTGGCATCTTTGTAGCGCATAATGCCTGGCTAATTTTTCTACTATTTTTCAATGAAGACGGGGTCTTGCTCTTGCTCAGGCTGGTCTCGAACTCCTGACCTTGAGTGATCTTTCCTCCTCAGCCTCCCAAAGTGCTAGGATTACAGGCGTGAGCCACTGCACCAGCCATCTCTTGCTATCTCTTTGTGTTTGTAGCCATGCTCCCACACCCCATTTCCAGTCTCTATCCATGGCAATAAATAATCTGTTTTTACTCTATATAATTTTGCGAATGTTATGTAAGTGGAATCATTTATTATGTAAGATTTTGAGATCAATTTTTTCACTAAGCATAATGGACCTTGAGGTCCACCCAGGTTTTTCCATAAATCAATAGTTTTATTATTATAAATAATATAAAAAATGTATTACTGAATAGTATTCCATCATATGGATACACAGCGTTTTAACCACTCATCCATTGAAGGGCTTTTGGGTTGTTTTTAGGATTTTGCTATTAAAAATAAAGCTACTTAAAAAAATGAATAAAATAAAACTGCTATGAACCTTTGCAGACAGGTTTTTATATGAACATAAGTTTCGGTTTCTCTGGGGTGCATGCCCAAGAGTGTGATTGCTGGTGCACTCTTTCTCTTAAACTCAGCAAGATCAAGGAATCAAGGTTTGGTTTGAGTTCCCCCAGATTCACTGGGTTTCCTCTGCCTGCTCCTCAGCCCAGAGACTGCCTCCAGGAAGTAAACTGGGCTCTTGGGTAGCTTACCTCATTTGTTTGCTTTCTTTCAGGCATCCAGTCCTGCTCTGTTTCCTAATACCTGAGACAGTTGTTTTCATATATTTTGTGTGAGGTTCTAGTTGTTGAGAGCAGGTGGTTAATTCCCATACCACTTAATCCTTCATTGGCAGAAGCAGAAGTTTCCCATATCCTCAGAGTTTGCTATGTCAAATTTTTCATCTCTTTATTCCTTTGTGCTGTGTTCTGAGAGAATTTTTTAGAGAAAATTTTCAGCTCCTTTTTTTTTTTTTTTTTTGACACAGAGTCTTACTCTGTTGCGTGGGCTAGAGTGCCGTGGCATCAGCCTAGCTCACAGCAACCTCAGACTCCTGGGCTCAAGTGATCCTCCTGCTTCAGCCTCCCGAGTAGCTGAGACTACAGGCACCCACCACTATGCCCGGCTAATTATATATATATATATATATATATATACATATATATATATATATATACACACACACATACTTTTAGTTGTCCCGCTAATTTCTTTCTATTTTTTAGTAGAGGCGGGGTCTCACCCTTGCTCAGGCTGGTTTCGAACTCCTGAGCTCAAATGATTCTGCTGCCTCAGCCTCCCAGAGTGCTAGGATTACAGGCGTGAGCCACCACGCCCAGCCTTCAGCTCCTTAACTAACCCTTTAGCTATATCTCTTTTCTTCTTCGGTCTATTTGTATAAATATTTTAACAAACTCCTCTTTTGATTGCTTCCGTAACTCTATTTCCACTTCATGCAACTAGATGAAGATTAGTGTGATTCACCACGTGTGTGGCTACAGGAAGACAGCAAGTTGGAGAGACATTCCTGCTATGGTTCCAATTACTCTGTGTATCAATATTACTCTGTATATCAATGCTAAATATATAGATCTTTCCTTAAATTCTGAATGTTGAAGTTAGGAGGGAGCCTTAATAATCCTCTACTCCTACACCCTCTTTTCAGAGGTGGGAAAAGAATGGGTCAGGTTGTCTAGCAAAGGCATAAAAAAATTAGTGCACAAGGCCCCCAGTTTTCAATCGGTACTATTTCCCATTGTTGCCTGCCACTTAAATTCTGTGTCCGTGTGTATGTGTGTACTTGTGTGTGCATAAAGAGAGATTACTTTTTATTCTTCCCACACAGGATTTTCCCTATATGAAAAGTACTGATTTTTTTTTTTTTCACTTTGGCTTTGCTGCAGAAAAACAAACTTCAGAGTGTAGCGAGAAGAAAGTTTTCGGTTCTACCCCTGACATTTGATTTTCAGTCAGAATGTGAAGAGGATATTGCTGCATCCACATCTAAGTCAGCGTCAAAGATCACAGAAGACAAATCATGTGACATTGAATCAAAAAAGTAACTATCGTAACTACCTGAAACTTTCAGTGTGGAGTTTTAAAACATTATATTTGTCTTAGATTATGCAATGTATATTAAATGACATCTTTGTTATACAGGATATTTTATAATGGTTATGAGTTTAGAATATACCAGATTAGCCTTCTGAATATTCCTAATTTATAAAATATTTATTATGTATAATATTTCACTAATGTAGATGGTAATTACAATTCTGAATTTTTAAGGAAAGGCTTTTCTTGAGCTCAGTGATGTTGTCCCAAATTAATGTCAGGATTTACTTCAAACTTTAACCAATATATTTCAAGAAAAGTGTGCCTAGAAAACTAATTAATGCAGTGTCTCTGTGTACTTAGAAGGGATAGCTTAAATATGTCATACATGGTCTTTCACTGGTATTTTGTATGTGTGTAATGCCATATGTTTTTTCCAGACAACATAAATGTAGAGGAGAGCGCAGGAAAAAAGTACTAAGATGCAGAGTCAACAGAACTTTAAATCACTTGGATGTTGGTGGTAGTGTGGATACTGCCTTTAGCTCATTTATTCTGTGTAACAGCCCAATGTATTAAGTGCATTTTGCAGATGAAAAAGCCAAGTCTGGTTGAGGATAAATAACTTGTCCAAGGTCACATAGCTAATAAGTGGCAGAGGCTGGATTTAAACCTTGGCAGTCTGCCCCCTCCCACAGTGAGAAAGAGAAAAAAGCCAAGTAGACCCTACTAGATCAATGACTTACAATTCTGATATTTTTCTTTTTTCCCTCATTACAGTTTTCTGCTATTTGGAGACATAAGAGAATTTCTTGCCCCAAATATTGGTGGATCTTTGTAAAATTTAGGGTATTTATTGCTCATTTTTGCTCAGTTGTGGGATAAAAAGTTATCTGGTTACCAATTCTATGACAACAGAATAATTGCCACTCAGCAACTAATTATGTTAACAAAATGAAATCCAGCATAATACTAAGTAAATATTATTCCACTATGACTAAGGGGAGTACATTTCAGAAGTAAGAAAATGTACACTCATTGACCTTTTACTATGGCCTTGATATTTTGTTAATTAGTTTCAAAACTTTATTTTACATAATTTTTATAAAAATCCTGTGAAGTAGATATTATCCTTATTTGGCATATGAAGGACTGAGATTCAGAGTATTCCTTCTGCAGAAGTTCACATAGAGTCAAGATACAAAGTAAGGTCTAACTCCAAAACCTATGCTCTTTGGTTCACCATAAGTAAATTCTTATCCGAATATCTCTATATACTCTTCAAATGTATCTGAAAAATAGTTTAGTAAGATAAGGATAAAATATTACCTCCTTAGCAAGACTATATAGCCAGCATCATCCTCAGAGTGGAACTGTTGACTTATTCTCACTTAAGTTAGAAACAGAACAATGCCCATTCTCACTCGTATACTACACTATTCTAGAAGTGCTTCCTAATGATATTAAATAAGAACATAAGATAAAAATTTTAATTTTTTCAAAGGAACAGATAAATTATTTTATAAAGATTAAATGATTATTAACTGAATACCCAAAGAGAATAAACTGAAAACCCATTAGAAATTATAGGATTATAAGAAGGCTCATGCCTGTAATCCCAGCACTTTGGGAGGCCAAGGCAGGTGGATGACTTGAAGCCAGGAGTTCGAGACCAGCTGAATAAGGGTGAGAGCCTGACTCTACAAAAAATAGAAAAATTAGCCTGGCATGGTGGCACATCCCTGTAGTCCCAGCTACTCAGGAGGCTGAGACAGGAGGATCCCTTGAGCCCAGGAGTTTGAGGTTACAGTGAGCTATGTTGATGCCACTGCACTTCAGTCTGGTCCACAGAGCAAGATTCTGTCTCAAAAAAAAATTATAAGAAAGTTTAATAAAAATTTACCAAAAAATATATGCATTCAATAAATATTTATTAAACATACACTATGTGCCAGTCACTGCTGTAGATGCTGAGAATATAACAGTGAACAAAGCAGATAAATACTCTGCCCTCAGAATTTACATTCTAGGTGGGGAGACAGATATTATAATAAATGAAATAAGCAAATGAATATATAATGTAATTCCATTAGTGATAAGTGCTATAAAGAAAAATATAGTAAATTAAGGGGATTAAGATCCACAGGGATTACTATTTTAGATGGGGGGTGAAGAGGTTGGAAATCTGAGCAGAGGCTTATGAAATACAGGAATAAGCCACGTCAATACCACGGGGAAGACTGTTACAGGTAGAGGGAAGAGCAAGTGCCAAGGTCCTTAAATGGAGCTTAAATTTGTTTCCCCAAACCAAACAGCTACATAATTTTCTGTGTTCCCACATGAAGGTAAGAGGTGAAGGAAGTGTGTAGGGAGAGGCCTGGAGGGGACTTCAGGGGAAGTTCCTCTACTGAGAAACATCAAAACTGGGGAGGAGAAAGTTTCTGTCTGGCAGTGAGAATTTTGAATTTTATTTGCATCTGATAGGAAACAGTTGAAGGGAAATGACAATCATATTTGTATTTTAAAAGTGTCACTATGGTTATATTGAGAATAGAATGCTGAGGACAAGAGTAATAGTAGGGAGAATAAACAGAAGATGTACAGAGACATAGAGAAGTACTTCAGGCCAGGTGCAAGTGGCTCACACTTGTCATCCCAGCATTTTGGGAGGCTGAGGCAGGAGGATCACTTGAGGCCAGGAGTTCAAGACAAGCCTGGGCAACATAATGAGACTCCTGTCTCTATAGAAAATTTTAAAAAATTAGCCGGGCATGCTGGCATACATCTGTAGTCCCAACTACACCAGAGGCTAAGGCAGAAGGATGGCTTGAGCCCAGGGGTTCGAGGCTGCAGTGAGCTATTATCACACCACTGCACTCCAGCCTGGGCAACAGAGGAAAGAGGGAGACTCTGTCTCTTAAAAAAAACAAAGAACTAGTAGTAGTAGGGCTCTTGGACTAGGCTGGAAGGAAGGAGGAAAGAAGTGGTTGGATTTGGGATATATTTTAAAGAAAGACCCAGTGATATCTGCTGATAGATTGGCAGTGGGAAATAAGAGAAAAAGAAATCAAAGATGTCTGCAAATTTTTTTAGTCTAAACCTCTGATTGAATGGAGATGGGGAAGCCTAGGTGAGGAGCAGTTCAGGAAGTGGTTGGAATCAATAATTTAGTTTTGAATATGTTAAGTTTGAGATACCTATAATATAGCCAAGTGTAGGAGTCATGTAGGCAGTTGGATATATAAATCTGGAGTTCAGGGAGTTTGAGGTCTAGACTATAAATCTGGAGACATCAGCCTATGGATAATATTGAAAGGTGCAGGGTTAGATGACATCAACTAAGGGTGAGTATCTGAGGCCTGAGGACAGAGTCATGGGTTGCTCTAGCATTTAGAGTTCAGAAATATCACTATGTAAGTAATACTAATAACTTTCTTACATACCATTAATAGCCAGTTAAAGAATTTTGAGGAGGAAAATTCCTGTTTACCATACATACATAAATGCTCTGATCATTTCTGTTATCTAAACTGTCCCTAACTCCATGCCCAACCATTTTGATTCAGGTCTAGTAATGTCCTCAATATCTCCTTGAACTAATTTCCAGCATATATTTCTGAAAGGATTAATTAGCTTGTGGATAATAATTTCTCAGAGCGCCCTCGATCCTATCACAACTTCCTGTCCCCCTTTACTTAAATGATTCTCACTGGATGATATTTCCAGCTCCTGCTCAACCAGTCCCAATCTTTTATACCTTGAGCTATGATAGTATTAATACAACTTCTAAATCTGTATAAATGAGACTTCACCCCATTTCTCCACATTTATTTTTTAGATTTGTTTTGAGAATTTTCTGATTATTTTAATTTAGATTCATTTTTATTTCTTCTAGGTATAACTCTTTCAAAAGTGAGCCTGAACCTATAGAGAGTGACATCAAAAAGTCAAATTTAAAACCACACTTTGTTCAAAGAAATGTCAGAATACAAGAAAGTAAGCCAATAGATAACGCTTCATGTAACGTATTTACTTCTCCTTTGATTTATTAATGTGTCTTAAACATTCTTGGTAATTTTATGTCTGTTGAAAGCATTTGCATGAACTATAAAGAAAAAATTTACTAAGAAGAGATGCTAAATATAATGAACAATTTATATAATTCACAAAATAAAAATATATTTTTATGTTTATAGGGTTATTTTTTTTCTAGAAAGAGAATCTCTGAGTTTCCTTTCAGCTCAAGTCTATGAATTTCCTTGTTACTGTTTTTTAAAAATCACATAGGAACAGCTTGCTTAATAGAAACTTACTTTCAGGATTAGAAATTTATGTATCTATGAACTAGGAACCAGCATGATAGATTCTCAGTGAATTTGAGTGTTTTGTGTCACCTTATTTTTCTTTCTCTGGCGTTATCAAACAGTCTTCCAATTGCATTATTCTCCCCAGCCTCCCTGACTAAGGCTCCTTGAGTCCACATTGCCCCATATCGCCTCATTTCTCTGTTATGCTCCATAATCTAATTTCTCAAAAGATTTGTTTACACGTGCTTTTGTGTCTGCGGTTTACTTTTATAGTGTCATAGTTCCTTATGTTCCTTATTATCTCTGAATGTGTGCTGGACACTATTTGTAAAATTATTTATAGGAACAATTTGAGAACTAGGATGATGGTACCTTACTCCAGAGAGGAATTTTTACTGTTTAAGCCAGGTATCTAGAGGCAGTACTTGTCCACACATACCTTAATCCACGTTCAAGTTTTTAATTTCCCTGGAACAGCCAGGTGGCAGAAGCACTGGCCTCAAGGCTACATGTAAGCTTACCTGTTCTGCTTTACTCCTACCCTAAGGTTATAACCCTTTGCACCCCAGGTAAAGTGCATGTGTGTTGGTGGAGGAGTGGGGAGAGAAGGAGAAGACATATCAAATATCCCACCTTCGGACCTTTGGTCAGCTTTTGATTCTTATATTTTTGTCTACCTCAGCCCACAAAACTTCCAAAACCCGACCTTACTTTCACATCACAAATACCCTCAGGACAAAAGTGGCTTTGCATGCTGGGCTTACACCTCTGAGTTCTCACCTTCTCTTAGATTTGGGACCAGAAGTCTCTTATCATCCTTTAGCTCTATGATGCTATTTGGATTTTTTTTTTTTTTTTTTGAGACAGAGTCTCACTTGTTGCCCAGGCTAGAGTGAGTGCCGTGGCGTCACCCTAGCTCACAGCAACCTCAAACTCCTGGGCTCAAGCCATCCTCCTGCCTCAGCCTCCCGAGTAGCTGGGACTACAGGCATGTGCCACCATGCCCGGCTAATTTTTTCTATATATATTAGTTGGCCAATTAATTTCTTTCTATTTATAGTAAAGACGAGGTCTCGCTCTTGCTCAGGCTGGTTTCGAACTCCTGACCTTGAGCAATCCGCCCGTCTCAGCCTCCCAGAGAGCTAGGATTACAGGCGTGAGCCAGCTATTTGGATTTTTAAAAATATTTTATCCAGCCTTTTCAGATGCATTCCACAGGACAGCTGGTACTAATAATATTTAAATGGCTCTCCCAATGGCAGCAGAAATCTCTAATCAATTTTTTTTTTCCTAAAGTCATAGTGATCTTTTTAAAGTAGAACGATTATCTCCTGATTAAGGGTCTTCAGTGGCCTCTCACTGCACTTAGTACGAAACTGGTACTCCTTACAAAGATCCTGTGTGGGTGACCTTTGCCTACATATTCAACCTAATCTCTCTGGCCCCCAACCTTCATTTAAACTACATTTTCACTAGCTTTTTTTCAATACAACTGCCAGATTGCCTCAGGGAAATATGCTTTCCCCTGTGTCTAAACCCACTGACACTCTATTCACACAGCTTGCTCCTCATTTGCAAGTTTCAGTTCAATGTCATCTGCTCAAAGAGGCCTCCTCTGACTACCCTGTCAAAATTACACCTTCTCTGAGGTTCATCCTCACCAAAATTATTTGTCACAGAATGCATTTCAATTTATAATTACTCACTCCTTTGCTTTTTCACTTGTTTATTTTCTATTACTATATTACTAAAATGTATGCATCATGTGGCGAGACTCACAATTCCAGAGCCTCATCTAAGGGAGGTGACCAACAAATAATTGTGGATTGAAGGATTACCAGACTATTAAATTTGTTACACGTATTATCTCATTAAATTCTCACAGCATTTCTATAAGTACTATTGTTACCAATTAACAAATAAGGAAAATAAGACTCAGAGAGGTTAACTAGCTTTCCAAAACTACATAACTTATAAAATAGGTGGGATTTGGACACAAGCTATCTAAATCCAAAGTCAGCATGTTTGCTGCCAACACTATACTTTCTTTAAGAAATTCCATTAAATCAGGGGTCCCCAACCTATGGTGAGTTGTATAATTATTTCATTATATATTACAATGTAATAATAATAGAAATAAAGTACATAATAAATGTAATGTGCCTGAATTGTCCCCAAACCATCCTCCCTACCCCCTAGTCTGTAGAAAATTGTCTTCCATGAAAGTGGTCCCTGGTGCCAAAAAGGTTGGAGACTGCTGCTTTTGATGATAATTCAGATTAATAAAACTCATAATTGGGGATGGGAGAATGCAGGCCGAGGAGAATATTTTTATTTTCAAAGGAATTAACCAAAGGATTCCTTTGAATAACACATATGATTCTTTTTTTTTTTTTTCAGACAGAGTCTCACTCTGTTGCGCGGGCTACAGTGCCGTGGCGTCAGCCTAGCTCATAGCAACTTCAAACTCCTGGGCTCAGGCAATCCTCTTGCCTCAGCCTCCTGAGTAGCTGGGACTACAGGTGTGCATCATGACGCCCGGCTAATTTTTCTATTTTTAGTAGAGATGGGGTCTCACTCTTGGTCAGGCTGGTTTCAAATTCCTGAGCTCAAGTGATCCTCGTGCCTCGGCCTCCCAGAGTGCTGAGATTACAGGCGTGAGCCACGATGCCTGGCCAGGTAACATATGAGATTCTATTTTGTTTAGAAATCCATTATTTTCTAAGAAGACACAGCTTTATTATATAATAGCAAATAATTGAAAGTTATATTCTATTAATAGAAATTCACTTTTAAAGCAAATTATTCTAGATTAGATTTAGCTCTAAAAATGGAGACGTAATGCATATATAATCAAGATTATTAAACTACATTTTTGAAAAGTTTATTACCAGTGGAGAAAATGGTTTATGGAGTTTAATTAAAAGTAAATTTAATAGTATGCAAATATTATTTGTGTTTGGATTTGTTTCCTTAGAGCCAGTAGAAAAAAATCCAAGATCAAGATCTGTTGGACCTTTTCTTTATCTTAAGGATACATCTGAGGTAGGTTTAATTTGTATGCTTGACAGTTACTTAATAGAAACTCAGATTAACCCTAAAAATTTAAGTATGTTTCTACAAATATCAATTTCAAATGAATTTTAAGATTTAAAATGACTACTTTTATTTTTTTATTTATTTTTTTGAGACAAAGTCTCACTCTGTTGCCCAGGCTAGAGTGAGTGCCATGGCGTCAGCCTAGCTCACAGCAACCTCAATCTACTGGGCTCAAGCAATCCTCCTGCCTCAGCCTCCCGAGTATCTGGGACTACAGGCATGTGCCACCATGCCTGGCTAATTTTTTCTATATATTTTTAGTTGGTTAATTAATTTGTTTCTATTTTTAGTAGAGATGGGGTCTCACTCTTGCTCAGGCTGGTTTCGAACTCCTGACCTTGAGTGATCCTCCTGCCTCGGCCTCCAGAGTGCTAGGATTATAGGCATGAACCACCACACCCAGCCGAAATGATGACTTTTAAAGTAATTTCATCTCTGATAGTATGTAAAACTTTATGTATGGGGACAGTAGAGAAGATAATATATTCTTTGCTGGAGATATTTCAGTTCAGTAGAAATTATTTATTGAACACGACAAGGACTACCATACCATAAAGGACTACCAAGTTACCATAAAATCAGTTAAGACAGGGCATCATAAAAAACTATATATGCATGACAAACATTTTAATTTATAATATAAAAATTTATATCCATTTGTTAATCTTTTAATGTGTAGCCAAGAACACTATTTTTAGCATGCTGTAGTTAATCATATTACATTATTACAATAGCAACTACCATAAACAGATTTAGAACTAACACTATGAACTTGAGCAGAGAGGTTCATGGGCATGCTGAAAGTGATTGATTATCCTTGGGCATTGTGGGCGTATTGGACATCATTCAGTAGGTTTTACCCAGGGAACTAGAGTTAAATAAATCCAGAGAATCAGCAAGTGACAGTGATTTAAGACAGTCTGTTAGGGCATGAATTTATTTTTTAATCTAGATTATTGCTAATATAGAGAAAGAAATATGAAGAAATACATACTTAGGTCTATAATTAATAACTTATAATTTTGTTGTATATTCCTATATTTTATAATTTTAAAAAATATTAACAGAATTCACTATCCAGATTACTAGTTTTATCCTCATCTAAATGGCTTATTTAGATTCATATTCAATAAAAGTCTCCCAAGAAATATACATGCCAATATCATAATCATTTTGCTCCTCATAATAAATTTACTAGCATCTTATAAAAAACATGTAACATTTCAATGATAAAATGACAATATTCATGTGATCTTAAAAATTAAACCAAGGCTAATAAGAACATACTGCTCTTCCATCCTATGCTCACTTTTCTAATTTCCTCTTTTCAGAGGCAACCATTTTTAACCTTTTTCAGTTTCAGTTCCTTTTTTGATTTTTTTTTAGATAGAAAAAATTATTTGCTTTACTCTTTTTATTTAGCGTATTATGGGGGTACAAGTGTTAAGGTTACATATATTGCCCATGCCTCCCCTCCCCCCTCGAGTAAGAGCTTCAAGCATGTCCATTCCCCAAACGTTGTACATCTTACTCGTTGTGGTTGGATATACCCCTTCCTTCCTCCCCACTCCCACCCTCCCGACACCCGACAAATATTACTCCTATATGTCCACTTAGGTGTTGATCCGTTAATACCAATTTGCTGGTGAGTGCATGTGGTGTTTGTTTTTCCATTCTTGTGATATTTCACTTAGTAGAATGGGTTCCAGCTCTATCCAGGAATATACAAGAGGTGCTATATCACCGTTGTTTCTTAAAGCTGACTAGTACTCCATGGTATACATATACCACATTTTATTAATCCACTCATGAATTGATGGGGACTTGGGTTGTTTCCACAGTTTTGCAATTGTGAATTGTGCTGCTATAAACATTCGAGTGCAGGTGTCTTTTTTATAAAGTGACTTTTGATCTTTTGGGTAGATGCCCAGTAGTGGAATTGCTGGATCAAATGGTAGATCTACTTGTATTGCTTTGAGGTATCTCCATATTGCTTTCCACAGAGGCTGAACCAGTTTGCAGTCCCGCCAGCAGCGTAGGAGTGTTCCTCTCTCTCCGCATCCACGCCAGCGTTTATTGTTTGGGGACTTTTTGATAAAGGCCATTTTTACTGGAGTTAAGTGATATCTCATTGTGGTTTTGATTTGCATTTCCTTGCTGATTAGAGATGTTGAACATTTTTTCATATGTTTGTTGGCCATTATTCTGTCTTCTTTTGAGAAGTTCTGTTCGTGTCCTTTGCCCATTTTTTGATAGGGCTGCTTGATTTTTTTCTTGCTGATTTTCGTGAGTTCTAAATAGATTCTAGTTATCAGCCCTTTATCGGATGTGTAGCTTGCAAAAATTTTCTCCCATTCTATGGGTTGTCTGTTTGCTCTCTTGACAGTTTCTTTGGCTGTGCAGAAGCTTTTTAATTTGATCAGGTCCCATTTGTTTATTTTTGTTGCTGTTGTGATTGCTGTCTTCTTCATAAATTCTTTTCCTAGGCCAATGTCTAGAAGAGTATTTCCAACGTTTTCCTCTAGAATTCTAATAGTTTCACATCTAAGGTTCAAGTCTATTACCCAGTGTGAGTTGATTTTTCTGAGAGGTGAAATGTGTGGGTCTTGTTTCAGTCTTCTACATGTGGCTATCCAGTCTTCCCAGCACCATTTATTGAATAAGGATTCTTTTCCCCAGTGTATGTTTTTGTCTGCTTTGTTGAAGATTAGTTGGCTATATGAGGATGATTTTATATCTGGGTTCTCTGTTCTGTTCCACTGGTCAATGTCCCTGTTCTTATGCCAGTTCAAAGCTGTTTTAATTACTATAGCCTTGTAGTATAGTTTGAAATCTGGTAAATTGATACCTCCTATTTTGTTTTTATTGCCTAGGATTGATTTTGCTATACGGGGTCTTCTCTGGTTTCATAAGAAGCATAAAATTATTATTTCTATATCTGTGAAAAATGATGATAATATTTAATAGGGATTGCATTGACTCTGTAGGTCACTTTGAGTGGTATAGACATTTTAACAATGTTGATTCTGCTGACCCATGAGCATGGTATATTCTTTCACCTGTTTGCATCCTCTGCTATTTCTTTCTTCAGTGTTTCATAGTTCTCCCTGTAGAGGTCTTTTACCTCCTTAGTTAAATATATTTCTAGGTACTTTATTTTCTTTGTTGCTATTTTGAAGGGAATTGAGTCTTTGATTTGGTTTTCACTTGTACTGTTGTTGGTGTATATGAATGCCTCTGATTTCTGTGTATTGATTTTGTATCCTGAGACTTTACCAAATTCATTTATCAGATCAAGGAGTCTCTTGGTTGAATCCTTGGGGTTTTCTAGGTATAATATCAAGTCATCAGCAAAGAGTGAGAGTTTGATCTCTTCTGCTCCCATTTGGACCTCCTTAATTCTGCTCTCTTGTCTGATTCCTGTAGCAAAGACTTCCAGCACTATCTTGAACAGAAGTGGAGATAGTGAGCAACCTTGTCTTGTTCCAGTTCTAAGTGGGAATGCTTTCAGTTTTTCCACATTCAGTATGATATTGGCTGTGGGTTTGTCATATATGGCTTGTATCATTTTTAGGTAAGCCCCGTCTATGCCTATTTTGTTGAACATTCTTATCATAAAAGGGTGTTGAATTTTGTTTAATGCATTTTCTGTGTCTATTGGGAGAATCATATGGTCTTTGTTTTTGTTTCTGTTTATATGGTGAATTACATTTCTAGATTTGTGTATGTTGAACCATCTTTGCATCCCTGGGATGAAGCCCACTTGGTTGTGATGAATTATTTTCTTGACAAACACCTGGATTCGATTGGCTAGGATTTTGTTGAGAATTTTTGCATCTATATTCATAAGGAATATTGGTCTGTAGTTTTCTTTTTTTGTTGTATCCTTTCCTGGTTTTGGTATCAGGGTTATGTTCGCTTTATAAAATGTGTTGGGGAGGATTCCATCCTTCTCAATGTTGTAGAATAATTTCTGAAGGATAGGCACCAGTTCTTTGTAGGTGTGGAAAATTCGGGTGTGAAACCATCTGGTCCAGGACTTTTCTTTCTAGGAAGGTTTTTTATTGCTGTTTCAATTTCAGTGCTTTATATTGATCTGTTCAGGAATTTCTATTTCTTCCTGGTTGAGCCTAGGGAGGCTGTGTGTTTCTAAGAAATTGTCCATTTCCTCCACATTTTCCAGTTTGTGGGCATAGAAGTTTTTGTAGTATTCATAAATTATATCTTATATCTCTGTGGCATCAGTTGTGATTTCTCCTTTGTTGTTCCTGATGGAGCTTATTAGAGATTTTTCTTTCTGCTTTTCATTAGTCTAGCCAATGGTGTGTCAATTTTGTTTATTTTTTCAAAGAACCAACTTTTTGTTTTATTAATCTTCCATATAGTTTCCCTGTTGTCAATTTCATTTAGTTCTGATTTGATCTTAATGATTTTACTTCTTCTGCTGGGTTTGGGGTTGGTCTGTTCTTCTTTTTCCAGCTCTTTGAGACAATTCATTATGTTGTCTATTTGTGATCTTTTTGACTTTTGGATATAGGCATTTATGGAAATAAACTTTCCTCTCAGGACTGCTTTAGCTGTGTCCCACAGATTTTGGTAACTTGTGTCACCTTTGTCATTTAGTTCAAAGAATCTTTTGATTTCCATCTTGATTTCCTTGTTTATGAAGTGATCATTCAGCAGAAGGTTGTTTAGCTTCCATGACTTTGTGTAGAAATGAGAACTCCAGTTAGGATTGATTTCTACATTTATTCCATTGTGGTCTGAAAAGATACATGGTATAATTTCTATTTTGTTAAATTGTTTGAGACATGCTTTGTGTCCTAGGAAATGGTCAATCTTAAAGAATGACCCATGAGCTGACGAGAAGAACGTATATTCAGTGGTTTTGGGGTAGAATGTCCTGTAAATTCCTTTTATAATTAACTCCATATTTCTAAAGAATG